CTCGTGCGCGGTTTCTATTCTATCGTGTGTCTCGTGCATGGTTTCTTTTTTGTCGTGTGTGGAACGTTCGGCGTATCTTAAGTGTGTGCAGCAGACCCATCAAGAACTCAAGGATGAGTGTACTCCGACAAGGGGTACACTGCATACTGCGAAAAGGGTTACACTTTAAGATATTTAGAAAATGTTACATTACTTTGTGTAGTGTAACATTTCACTTGGTGTAGGCCCTTGTGAAGGGTAGTTTCGAGACCCTTCGTGATTGGGGACAGTGTGGCACTGTTCCACATCACTGTACCTCGGCTCTTGGGGTTTGTAGGAGCTGGGAGTCATTCCCAACTCGCAACTCTTCCTAATTTGTGTACTAAGACTATAGTGGCTGACATAGTGCCGTTCGTTCAAACTAACGTTGTGTCGTCAATTCTTAATGAACTCGAGCGATCAAAATTGACTATTGTAGGCGACGTCAAGATACTCCAGATCCAATTTGAATCAGGTCATTTAGAGTTGTGACGAAAACGCTGTGAAGGTTTAAAGCCGATGTGCATAAATCCGACCGTGCACTCTATCTTTTGTTTTAGGTACTTTTGAGCCTACTGTGACCATAAGAGAAGTGACAGGGTTCGGAGGCAGTAGCTGCTGCTGCTGCTCTCTCGGGGGCCAGTGTGAAACGTGTAGAGACCAGAACCCGGCTCCTGGCGGAAGGTGGCCAGGGGGGCGTACGTGTCACCGTCCACACAGGCCGCAGAGTCCCCAGAAGGCTCAAACCAAACACCAACGTGCTGACTCACGAGCGGCCCCACACCCACCAAGTTCCTAGAGAACGAGGGGATGTGGAGGCCCGTCAGAGAACTCAAGGGAACAGCGGGGCACGGAAGCATAGTAGAGTGCTGAGCAATGACTGGTCCCGAAGTGGGTTCAGCCAGTGCTATAAAGACTGGCGCAGGAAGCGGAGTAAGAGTCACGTGGTCGCGGAAGAAACACTTCGAAGCTCCGGAGTCCAGGGTGAAAGACAGCGAAGCGTCCGCCGGAGTAGCACCTAGACGAGTACCTAAGCAAGTACTTACACTAGCAACTGGCACAGGATCAACACTAGCACCTAAGCTAAAAACACGCGAGCAAACGGAGTGAGAAACACTAGGGTTAACAACAGCATATATAGCATTTGCAGTTCCTAAGAGTTCAATTAGCTGAGAAGTAGACATGTCCCACAGCGCGGGTCCGTGCGAGAGAACAAAGGGAAGCCAATTAGAGGCAGGGCCGTCTGCGCCGTAGGCCGCGCGAAGTCTATCAGTGAGTCGAGTAAAGCATTGACCTAGTGGGTGACGGTGGTCGCAGCGGAGGCCACTGCAAGTACCTGTCTGGATGAGGTAGGGGCAGGGTGGGTGGGCGTCACCACACGACAGCTGACGCGGTCCTGACACGTGCCTCTGACCCTGCTGCTGCCCCTGCTGTTGTTGTGGCTACTGCTGCCGCTGCTGCTGCTACTGCTGCTGAGCCAGGTACCAGGCCGCCACCCCAGCACCGGCAACTGGCAGCCCCGCAGGTGCCGGACGAACCCGAGCGTCACCTCCACCAGCTGCAGCTGGGGAGCCACTAGAAGCTCCACGAGGCGCTCCACCAACACCTGCACTCCCGCCACCGCCACTCGCCATGCCACCTCCGCCATCTTCGCTGCTGGCTGCACCTTGGCCGCCCCTCCTACCACTCTAGACCGCGCAGAAGTCGTAACAGCAGCCGCGGTCTCATCAATAGCGGTAGTGGCGAGGGAGGCAGTGAAGGTGGGCAGCTGTGGGACAGTGCACCCGTGGAACAGTGGGGGGGACACAGCGCCAGATGCAGAGGCTACCGAGCGGAGGTTGCTCTCGACGTCCTTGAGTGCAGCATCAAGGACGGCGATAGTGAGCTCGCTAGTGTGCTTCAGCAGAAGCGCGTCGCGAACAGTGGCAAGGCGGTCAGGGAGGCTAGTGGCGATAAAATGTTTAGTGATTGCCATAGGGGGGGGGGAGCAGTGTGAGCGGTGTGTCGGTACATGCAGCGCAGTAGCTCTAGTCTAGCGAACGCAGGTGTGCGATCAAGTCAGATTAGCGCTCAAAGGAGGCGAGGTCCGGAAATAGGAATGGCAAGAACATGCGACCAAGAGAGATAGTTGTGGGAGTTGAGTAGAGGGCCTTAATCGCAGTAAGGAACTCTCAAGCAGAGCGAACATGAGTGAAGTGCGCCTCTTCAGACTCAGGGATGCGGCTGCTGAGGGCGATGCAGACCACTGCGTTGCGAGACTTCTACGCTGTAACGGCAGCCTCCTCGCAGGCAAAGCGCTCCCTGTCTGCAGCAGTGGGGTCAGCGCCTAGTGCATCTGGGGCAGGGGGCTCAGGGAGGTCACTGGAGGCGTGTGCCCAGAGGGTCTCCTCAGCCTGACACTGACTCTCTAGTAGGCGTTACACACGAAGGAGGCAGAATGAAAGCTCTAGCGGTCTACCATCGGCATCGAAGCGGAGAAATCTACGGGCCGCCATAATTGACTAGCAAGGGGAGATGCGGCTGCCAACCACCAAGAAAGCTTGAGCAGGGCGGGCACGACAATGTGCGGGCACGACAGTGTGCGGGCGTTTAGGGCATGACGCTGAGGGTGTGGACGGACGGGCCAGACGCTAAGGGCGCGGACAGACGGGCAGACAGGGCGCAGGGTGTGGACGGGCGGGAGCAGGGTGCGGACGAACGGGTGCAAAGCGGACGGACGGACGGACGGACGGACAGGAAGGACGGGCGCAGGGGACGGGACGGACGGGATAGACGGGACGGAGGGGACAAACGAGCGCAGGGCACGGACGGACGGGACGACACGACGGGACGGGACAGGCGAGGTGCGACGCGACGGGACGGGCCGGGCGCGACGCGACGAGCAGGGATACGCGACGCGACGAGCAGGGATACGCGACGGGACGGGACAGGTTGGGCATGACGCAACGGGATGGGCAGGGCGCGACGCGACGGGACGGGCAGGGCGCAACGCGACGGGCAGGGAAGCGCGACGGGCGCGAGGGGACGGGACGGGACGGGACGGGCACGACGGGCGCTAGAGGACGGGACGAGCACGACGGGCGCTAGAGGACAGGACGGGTGCGACGGGCGCTACGGGCGTCGTAGGCTAGGCGCAACGGGCGCGGGAGGCTCAAGAGAGAGGAACGGGATCCAACAGGATCCTAACCTAGGTGATATCATGTCAGAAACGAAATGATCTGTGTATTACTATTAGTTGGGGTACATATACCTAACCCTAACAGCTATGCCCCACATGACATGTCTCACTACAGGCTACAACATTTGACAAAACAAATTAAAATGGTGCCAAAGCTTGATGTACGCGGAAACAAAGCTAGTGATGGGTAATCCAAAGTGTTAGCCTCAGCAATGTTGGTCTAGCAAGAATTGAGATGACATCCCCGCAAGAAGCACACAGATATCTTAGATACTGTAACACACCACGGTGTATGTTCAACCATGATACTGTCTTGTTTTATGGTCTCATATTTGGCTAGAGATTCCAAGGATCAAATACAACTTATGGACGGTACGCTATGCATGCATGCATGCCCATGCTAGGCCTTGGTGTTGGCGGACGACCGTCGCGGCAGATTCCACATGCTGACAGCCTTATCCATTCCCTTTGCAGCCACCAACCGGACTGCATCAACCGCCCTCTCTATAGCCACATCCACCTGTGTCACGGGTCACAGACCACAAATGGGTTTGCATACAAAGGAAACCGTCTCATATTATGAAATAGGCAGGTTAGTTTCAACTGGTATCACAGCTTCCTGTTATATCTCAGGAAACCATACATTTCATAACTGCATATTTTCACAGTCTCACCTCCTCCCTTCCTCATGAGGTGCCTTTTGAGTCGACTCAAAATTCATACACATACACACATTCTCACTAACTCGCCTCCTCCCTCCCTCTCCTTGTGCGAGATTCACTGCAGCACATACACTTTGGGGTCTGTTTTTTTATAAGCCGGAAGACAAAGTAGAAACGCTTCAACGCTCGACGCACACACCACCTGCTCCTTCCACCTCTTCTCTCTCCCTATCTGAAAACTTCTGCAGCACATACACCTTGGCCTCCATGCGTCCTGGTGGCCTCCCAATGCCTGCATGCAAACCACATGGAGGGAATGAACTGGTGTTTAATTTGACTCATAAAACTCTCCCTGTCTGACTGACAACTGCGGCAGCACACACCTTGGCTTCCATACGTCCCGGGGGCTCCCATGCCTGCATGCAAACCACATGGAGGGATTAACTCAATCTAGAATCTCTCTGACTGCCAACCGCTGCAGCACATACACCTTGGCCTGGCCTCCATCCATCCTGGCGACCTCCGGATGCCTGCATGCACTGATGACACCAGCATGACGTCACCATGCCATCACACAAACATGTTACACATGTTGCACGTTTGACAAACAGTTAAATACGTGCCCACAGCAGGTCACGTGGCAACAGCAGGTCAGCATGGCAACAGCAGCTCAGCATGGCAACAGCAGGTCAGCATGGCAACAGAGCAGCAACTGACCAAATCTGATTCCTCCACTGACCAAATCAAAATTGCCACCGACAAAATCAGTTTTGCCACTGACCGAATCTCAGACGTGGAAAGTTTCTAGAGCCCTGAAAGTGCTGCATTATGCTCTTCATGCTGGAAAGGGGGATGTGGCATTGGGTAGTGGGGCATGGATGGGAAGGGAATGAGGAAATGGGGCACGGGGAAATCATGAGGGAGTGAGGCATGGGAAGATGGGGCATGGCGAATTGGGAATGGTCAAAGGACGATGAAAGGAGAATTCATGGAAACAGGTAGGTGGGAGTATGCTTGTTGACAAAAGGAGACTTTATTCTTGAAATGTCTCAAATGTGACACGTGGGTGGGAGTACGCATGAGACGTCCACAAGCAAAAGGAAAGGGCATCATTGAAATTTCTCTCTTATGGCATTGTGGGGATGGGGAGAGATGTCACGGAGAAGGCATCATGGAATGATGGTGACGAGACGATAAAAACAACGAGAACTGGAAGGCAGACGGATGGTTACTGCTCTCTATCTTTTCAGTGATGCAAGTGGAGAAAGGCTTGGAGACGTTTCAAAACACTGTCAACAAAAGGGGCGGGCCTTTTCAGTAAACGCCACTTACTTGGAGACGTCACCAAAAGGGGCGGGCCGAGGTACAAAGTGCACCAGTCGAGTGAGTGCTCTCATCCTTTCAGTGCCACCTCTCACAACGGCTGACCTATGTTGGAATATACACCCAGGCCCCTTTGCGTTTAGCGTTTGCACACTAGTGTATATACGTAAAACGCTAAACGCCCACTCATACGCAATACGCAGCCCAATTTTTTTTTTTGCCTGCCCGGAAAAGCGTATCACCGATTTGAGGTTTGAGCGTATAGAGTATACACGCTTGCGTATGTACGAAACGCGTATACACGACAAACGCGTATATTCCAACATAGCGGCTGACCTCCTTCTCACAGCGGCTGACCTCCTTCTCACAGCGGCTGACCTCCTTCTCACAGCGGCTGACCTCCTTCTCACAGCGGCTGACCTCCTTCTCACAGCGGCTGACCTCCTTCTCACAGCGGCTGACCTCCTTCTCACAGCGGCTGACCTCCTTCTCACAGCGGCTGACCTCCTTCTCACAGCGGCTGACCTCCTTCTCACAGCGGCTGACCTCCTTCTCACAGCGGCTGACCTCCTTCTCACAGCGGCTGACCTCCTTCTCACAGCGGCTGACCTCCTTCTCACAGCGGCTGACCTCCTTCTCACAGCGGCTGACCTCCTTCTCACAGCGGCTGACCTCCTTCTCACAGCGGCTGACCTCCTTCTCACAGCGGCTGACCTCCTTCTCACAGCGGCTGACCTCCTTCTCACAGCGGCTGACCTCCTCCTCACAGCGGCTGACCTCCTCCTCACAGCGGCTGACCTCCTCCTCACAGCGGCTGACCTCCTCCTCACAGCGGCTGACCTCCTCCTCACAGCGGCTGACCTCCTCCTCACAGCGGCTGACCTCCTCCTCACAGCGGCTGACCTCCTCCTCACAGCGGCTGACCTCCTCCTCACAGCGGCTGACCTCCTCCTCACAGCGGCTGACCTCCTCCTCACAGCGGCTGACCTCCTCCTCACAGCGGCTGACCTCCTCCTCACAGCGGCTGACCTCCTCCTCACAGCGGCTGACCTCCTCCTCACAGCGGCTGACCTCCTCCTCACAGCGGCTGACCTCCTCCTCACAGCGGCTGACCTCCTCCTCACAGCGGCTGACCTCCTCCTCACAGCGGCTGACCTCCTCCTCACAGCGGCTGACCTCCTCCTCACAGCGGCTGACCTCCTCCTCACAGCGGCTGACCTCCTCCTCACAGCGGCTGACCTCCTCCTCACAGCGGCTGACCTCCTCCTCACAGCGGCTGACCTCCTCCTCACAGCGGCTGACCTCCTCCTCACAGCGGCTGACCTCCTCCTCACAGCGGCTGACCTCCTTCTCACAGCGGCTGACCTCCTTCTCACAGCGGCTGACCTCCTTCTCACAGCGGCTGACCTCCTTCTCACAGCGGCTGACCTCCTTCTCACAACGAGTGACCTCCTTTTCCTGCCTGAACTCACCCGTTGTGTCCCCCATGCCCCCCTTTGGCAAGAAGCTTCATGGAAGCTACGTCCAGGTCCATGTCATCGTAGATCTAAGTGAAGGGATGGTAGAAATGTTCGCTTAATTAAAAAGCCCAGATCCATCCATGTCCTTAAGGCGACTTTTGAGACGTCTCAAAAGTGACGGGATGGCAGAAATGCTCGCTCTATTAAAGCTCAAGGCCCAAATTGTTCAGGATTACTAAAGTTGACCCTTGGGTGGTGGGGGAGCTGAGTAGGAAAGTCGAGGTGTTTGAGGGGTGTAGGGGTTTGGTTTCGCCCAGCTTCTTGCCACACTCAAAACAAAATTCGCTGACTCAGCAAAGCCTAGGGGACGCTCAGGTTTGGTTGCGCGAGTCCCATATTGCACAAATATTACTCTTGCCAGTTTTCCACACCACCTGTTTCATTCGCTGACTCAAATGTTCTGGCCAATCAGATGGCTTCGTACATTTCGTAACCACAATTCGCCCAGCTAAAGATGCAAACCAGCACTCGATCAACCTTACTAAACTTGCCTCGCGCGGCCCGCAATTTGGGCCTTGAGCTTTAACGAGTTCAGATCCATCCATGACCTTAAGGACTTCGGAGTTTCTAGTCGACTACTTTTCGGGTGGTGGTGGGAATGGTGATGGAAGGGAAATCATCACAGAGCAGGTAGGGTAAATGGGTCGAAGATGGCTTGGCATGGTACGGCATGGGATGCCATGGTACGGCATGGAATGGCATGGAATGGTATGGCACAGAAGTGAAGTGCATGGCATTGCAGGGCACAACAGGGCAGGCTGTGAAATAGAATGGCCATGACTTACAGCCATGACTTACAGCTATGACTCGCTCTGGTGGAATCTTGTAGAATCGAGCCAAGGGACCCACCTGCAATGTGGTGCGGTGGTGTGGGGTACAGTGGTGTGGGGTGCGGTGGTATGGGGTACGGTGATATGGGGTGCAGTGGTATGGAGCGTCGCTCAGGTTCACGAGCGACTGAGGATTCACCAACAGCACTTTGATTTTCTCTTATCGTCCTCTGGCCTCATCCCCTTTTTCCTCTTCCCTCCCCACCCCTTCACCCGCACCTTCTCTCCGTCCATCACAGCCACTCACTCTCTCCCCACTGAGGTTCATGAACGTCTGGGGCTTCACCGCAGCTCCCCTGCCCATCCACACTCCATTCGCCTTCCCACTTTTCCCACTCACTATCCCCATCATAGCCACTCACGCTTTACCCTCTCAGATTCATGAACGTCTGCAGCTTCACCAGCAGCATTTTAGGCCTTCATTATCAAAGACCGTTTCTCAACCCTTCTCTTACCCCACCACCCGGTCTCCCCTTGTCCACTCACGCTCTCCCCTCTCAAGTTCATTAACGCCTGGCTGGGCTTCACCAGCAGCACTTTGAGGCCCCAATATCCATCAGGTATCATCAAAACCCCCACCACCTTCCCACCCACCCCCCTTATCACTCACGCTCTCCCCACTGAGGTTCATGAACGTCTGTGGCTTCACCAGCAGCACACGGCACCCGGCAATGCGTCCCTTGCCCACCACTGCCCTGCTCTGCACGGCACTCAGGGATATGCTGGTAACTATCGCCCTCGTACCCCCCGCCCTCTCATTCCCACCCCCCACCATTCACACTCTCCCCACTGAGGTGCATGAACGCCTGTGGATTCACTAGCAGCACTTTGAGATTCCGCCGAGCACGTACCATCAAACCGCCCTACTTACCACCCCCTTTTTCACTCACACTCTCCCCACTGAGGTTCATAAACGTCTGCGGCTTCACCAGCAGCACAGGGCACGCAGCAATGCGCCCCTTGCCCACCACTGCTTTGCTCTGCATGGCACTCAGGCTTATACCCTCCGCTCTGGCTACAGCGTCCATCACCTCGAAGCCCACCTGGTGGGATGGGAGGCACGCAGGAGAGGGAGGGGGACTGGAGGAGGGGTAAGGGAAGAAGGAGGTGAGGGGAATGAAATGCGTCCCTTGCCCACCACTGGTTTACTCTGCATGGCTCTCAAGCTGGGAGGCAGGAAAGGGCCGGGAGGGGATGGGTTGTAGGCAGTGGAAGAGGAGAGGGATAGCGGGACGCAGAGAAGAGAGGCACCCCCTTGCCCACCATCGCCCTGCTCTTTTGAGGCGCCTCAAAAGTCGTCTCTTCTCCCGCAATTTTTTAGGCGCCTCAAAAGTTGAGGAGAGAGGCACCCCTTTGCCCACCATCGCCCTGCTCTGCATGGCGCTCAGGCTTATAACATCCGCCCTAGCTGTGGCGTCCATCACCTCGAAGCCCACCTGGTGGGGAGGTGAGAAGGAGAGAGGGGGAAACGGGAGGACGAGGTCAGCAGCACTGGGATACGCAATGCGCCCCTTGCCCTCCCTCCCTCCACGGCCCTGCTCTGCATGGCGCTCAGAGCTGGTTTTTGAGAATTGTCAAAATCTCAGAGCTATGCCCTCTGCCGTGGCTATGACATCTATCACCTCGACGCCCACTTGTTGGGGAAGGAAAGCAGGAGAAAAGGGGGTGGGAGGAGGGGGAGGAAGAGGAGAGGGGTAGGGGGAGTAAGAGGAGGGGTGGGGAAGAGCATGGGGAGGAGATCGACTGAAAGCCTACCTGGTGAGAAGGGCACGGGAGAGAGAAAGGGTTTGTGGGGAAGGGGGAAGGAAGCGGCTTGAAGCTTATCTAGTGGGGGCGGCAGGAGAGGACGGCAGGGGGTGGAAGGGCAGAGGAAGAGCGAATAGAGTGTATGTGGGAGAATGACCTTTGAGTCGACTCAAAAGTCACCTCGTTTGAAGGCCAGAGGAGGAGCAAATCGAATCGAGGGCATGTGGGAAGCTGAGGAAAATGCGCTCTCTGCTGATGCGATTTTTGGAGTTTGGCCGAGAATGTTGCAGCGGGCGGACAGAGAGTCGGCGCGCTATGAGTGGGCTGGTCACACTAACCACACCCCAAAACCCCAAACCTCGAACCCCTTGAATCCCAAACTCTGAACGTTCATGTGCTCCGTTACCCCCTTTCCCTTCCCTTCCCCTACCCCTTATTTTGTCAACATAAAGACATGTTTTCGAGCCGCCACAAGAACGATGCGGATCCTTAGATAGCACAAATACGAAATCTGAGGCACACCTTTCCCCCTCCTCCCCTCCCAGCCCCCTTCCCCCCCTCTCCCCCTTTCAAAATCTGCTTCTTAGATTTCTCACAGGCCAGTCCCATGCACGCCCAGCGGCAACGTACATTGTGCCGTGTGCCCTCGTATTTCATCCCCGGATTGCCCAGCCCTACCAGCATCCACGGCCCGCTCCGCCCCGCATCCCCCTTGCTCCGCGCGCCCGGCGCCCCCGCGGTCTCCCCCGACACCTCCCCCGCGGCGCTGGTCATGACGGCTCTACGTTTGCTGACGCGGAAGGTCGTCACGCCGTCTGACGTGGATCGCTTCATGAATGACGTGGATCGCTTCATGGTTTTCTACACAGCACAAAGAAACGGCAAAAATACACACCAAAGTCAGCTCACCTGCGTGCCCTCATCCCACAGCCTCGTCTGACCTGCCTGCCCTCATCCCACAGCCTTGTCTCACCTGCCTGCCCTCATCCCACAGCCTCGTCTCACCTGCCTGCCCTCATCCCACACGCCTTCCGCCGTCTGCGCCTCCGCCACCGACACCGCGTGCGCGCGAGCTCTCCCCCGATGGGGGCGCTGCGCTCTCGCCGCGGAACTCGACATATAACACCTCGCTACCCACTGGGTCAAAACGAGGGTGTTATTTGGCGCAGCGGAATGCCCATTAACACTTACCCACAGGCGTTACACTCGTCCCCCCCTGGTGTCAACGTCCCCGTTGACGAACTTCAGGGAGTCGGCCCCCGCAGGGACCTGTTCGCTGTGCTCCAAGCAGCGACTTCGCTGGTGGACCAGGCCAGCGGAGGATCGTTCACTGAGTTCAGTCAGGTTTCCACATTCAAGTTCTCGCCACAGGCGGAAAATGTGGATCAGCCAGGATTTGAACCCTAGGCTCTGATTCCAGTATAACACCTCGCTACCCACTGGGTCAAAACGAGGGTGTTATTTGGCGCAGCGGAATGCCCATTAACACTTAGCCCACAGGCGTTACACGACAAGCTGCAGGGCGAGGCGGCCGTGCGCGCGTCGACGCGCAGAAGGTGGGCCGAGCGCGCCGAAGACGGACAGCATGGAGGGGAAACCGGTTGGCAACGGACGGCCGGAGCGGCTACGACGGACGCGGTGAGCCGCGCAGATAGCGACGAGAGGGACATTGGCAGCCCTGCTGCACACGCGGCAGGCGGCATGGCGAATGCGGCTTTCCGCGCGGATGGTGCAAGGACGGCGCAGGCTTCCAGCGCGCGGAGAATGGCGGCGAACGACACGGAAAGCAGCGGGCAAGCATGGAGGTGGAGGGTTTCAGCAGGTGAGGCTGGGATTGGCAGGGCGAGCAAGGGGGAATCGAGAGGCATACGGCGTCGATGTAAATCCCCGTTTAGTGAACCCCTGTTTGTTTCAGACACAGAAAGCTTCTATTCTTAAATGGCTGTAACTCAAATGATGGAATTCCAGGTCGCAATCATGTACGTATTAAACGGGGGAACATGGCGGTATGATGTTCCAATTTCCTCTTGTGATCCTGTATGAACATTTCCATTTCTCTGTTGTATTCACGTTTGTAATGTTATATTAAGTCTCATATTGGTCACGCAAGCACCAATCAACAGCTCTTAGACCTGCAAACGATCAACCCTGCAAGACCCTTACTTGTAAGTAATTTTGTCTCATTCCAACAGTGTTGGCCTGAAAATAGCCTAAGGATATTATAGAGTTTAGTCATTGATAAAGTATTGTACCTGAAATCTTGTGAATTTCTGTACTATGTGAATGTGAGAACAAGAATTGATATTAATGAAAGCGTACAAAGAATGTATAGTCTAGCAGAGTACCTACTCGGTAATGTACTTATTCATGAATTGAGCTGTTTATCGAATCGACTACTGAAGCGATACTTTTCTTGTGTCACGCGAACAATTACAAGACTGTTTGCGCTACTACATGTAACTCATGTAAAGAGACACATGCTGGAGTAGCATTTGTTAAAGAGCTATCTAATGTTCCTACGGGCCCTTATTAGGGCCTCCTCTTATCAGCTTCGCCAAACTTGCATGTAATTTGGCTGGACCGAGAAACCCCTTGTCATATATACTTGGCGGTTTGCAGTTGTGTGCGATTGTCCATGCTAGCTGATGTGGCACAATGCGACCCTTTCACGCGCAGCAGCTTGAGAAGGCACAGAGCGCTCGCGTTTCGTAAAATGTGCACCAGGGCCACGTCAGCCAACACATTGCCCCATGCTCAAAGTCTACCACCCAGGGTGACGCAAACTGGCTCCACCCAATACTTGACTCACAAGCACACGTGCGTTACAAAAGCGAGGTGAGAGAGCATCTTTCCAACAGACACAGGATTGTTAGGACGTTACGGTATGGCACCATGATCGAGGAGCCTTTCCTCCCACGACTTTTAATTGTATGGCATGCTTTCTTCTATAACACCTTCTTAGACTGTACCACGAAAGCCTGCATTGCGCTACTGGAGCGCATCGAGTCCGCGGCGCTAGACGCTCAATGCGTAGAGTCGCGAAGTGAGCTGCGCACTAGGAACCGTCAACTACGTCGACGGCAAATAGAAGTATGGGAGGACCAGATGGAGTCAATGTCGGAGGAGACATTCACGGACCTCTTCCGCATCAATCGCGCCATATTAGACTACATATGCGAGGGAATGCAGCATATTTTGCACCCGGTCGTACATAGGCACGCATTGCCCATCACCATGGCCGTTTTAATCCCCATTAATTACTTCACGAGTGCAATGTCATACATTGTGAGAAGAAGCGAACGAGAATGGATCAACTATGAATGAAGTGAGTACAAATATGAAACCCTAATTGGGTTGTACCCCCTATGGGATACCCCACTATAGCCTACACAAATAAGTAAGCTATAATGTTCTGACACACCCCCATAGGCAAAGTGGGGGAGAACAAGGAGTCACAAGACCAGTCAAGCAAAGCAAAGCAAAGCTCAGGGTGGATCACAAAGTCACCACACATTCCGAGCGCAAGGTCAAGGGCTACAAGGCCAGTTCGCATGCAAGATCATATATAGAGATATACAAGAGTCAAGCAAGCAAGAGCAAGAGTATATATAGGTCAAGGTACAAACAAGGTCAAGAAGTGAGCAAGTGAGGCAAGACAGGCACAAGACCCAGCTGCGTGCAGCAACGCTGATGATCACAAGGAGCAAGTGCCTTGGTGAAGACATCAGCAGTGTTGGCCTCAGAGGCCACGTACGCAAGTCGCAACTGTCCACGCTGCTGCAGCTCACGAGCAAGAAAGTAGCGGAGAGCAATGTGCTTTGTCCTGTGCTCCAGTCGCTGCTCTCGACACAAGGCCAGCATGGCCTTGTTGTCTACGTACAGGACTGGAGGAGAACGAGGCGGCTCTCCAAGGTCGGTCAGCAGGTAGGTGAGCCAGCGAAGCTCCTGAGCAGCCATAGCCCCGGCGTAGATCTCAGCCTCACAACTGGAGCCGAGAACAGAAGACGAGCGAGTAGCCCGCCACGAGACAGAGCCGGAACCAAGGCCGAAGGTGTAACCCTGTGACGACCGCTGCGTAGCCTGGTCGTCAGCCCAAGAAGCGTCCGCGTGCCCAGTGAGGACCACTGGACTGCGCCCTCCAAGCACTAGCCCCATGCCCGACGTACTGCACAAGTAGCGCAACACCCTCTTCGCTGCAGCCATGTGCTCTGGTCTGTGTCTCCCAGGAGCAACATAGCGTGCGAGAATGCAAAGAGGGTATGCAAGGTCAGGTCGTGTGCAGGTCATCAGGTACATGAGGCAGCCAACAAGCTCTGCATACGGGCCACTCGACTCTACGGACTCATCCGAAGGCAGAGCTGAGAGCGAGTGGCGAGTAGGCAGAGGAGTGGCCTGAGGCGAGGAGTACGTGAAGCCGAAGCGCTGAAGGACCTGCTGCACCATGTGTGACTGAGTCAGGGTAATGGTGCGGCGTGCTCTGTCCCGGGTGATCTGCAAGCCAAGGTAGCTGCGCAGTTCACCCAGGTCAGTGCACGTGTGTCTCTTCTGCAGCTCAGACTTCACGTAAGCGAGTCCAGCAGTGTCCGCTGTGGCAAAGACCAAGTCGTCGACGTACACGAGGATGTAGAACGGCGGCAGAGAGGTGTCGGTGCGCAGAAACAGCGACGGGTCAGCAGTAGAAGGAGCAAACCCAAGAGCCGCAAGCGTAGTCCTCAGTGTGTCGTGCCACTCACGTGGCGCCTGGCGGAGACCGTAGAGTGGACGCCGGAGACTCCACTGGGTACCAGGAGAGAAAGACCCAGTGAAGCCAGGTGGGCGACGCAGCCAGATCTCCTCGTGCAGGCTGCCCTGCAAGAAAGCTGTGCTGAAGTCGAGAGAGTGCAGCTCATAGTCACTGTGAGCAGCAACATGCAGCAGTACTCGAAGAATGGTCATCTTCGGGGTGGGGGAGAAGGTCTGAAAGTAGTCAACCCCCTGCCGCTGACTGAAGCCACGAGCCACGTAACGCGCCTTGAAGACAGGCGGAGAACCCGGCGGCCGCTTCACCCTGAAAATCCACATGCCACTGACGATGTTCGCCCCAGGAGGGGGAACAGCGTCGACGTAGGTGCCTGTGGACTTCCAGGAAGCCATCTCTGCATCCATAGCCGCCTGCCACTGAGAGGAGTAGGGACCCTCTATCGCCTCCGCGTAAGAGCGCGGAGTCGGGATGTCTAGTGCATCCGGGTCTCCCTCAGGGGCTAGCAGTACAGATGCAAGATGAGGTGAAGCGGCGGCCAGACACTGGAACTCCTCCTGCCTGTCCTCAAGGACGTCCGTGCCAAGGGCACACTCACCCCCGACGGACGGAGGACAGGCAGACTCAGACTCAGCGACAAGACTAGCAGCGTAGTCTAGACGACAGCGCGCAGCAAAGTCGACGAGCTCAGTGACAAGGGCAGACGCAGCAGAAGACTCGAAAGAAGGGTCAGTGACAGCAGTAGCAAGAAGACGCGTGACAGTAGGACTGGCAGCACGAAGAGAGTCCGACTCCGGGTCGGCAAGAGCAGGAAGAGAGGAAGCAGGAGGAGAAGGCAAAGGGGCACGCAGAGGAGCAGTAGACGGACGCAGAGACATCCGGTGCGTGCCAGGGACAGGAGGAGGACGCTGACGCGAACCACGACCACTAGTGCGCGCAGTACGAACACGCGACGCAGGACGAGACGCAGGCTCACGACGCTCAGTAAGACCTCCAGTCGGACCAGCGTAGGGAGAAGGAGCAGGCAAAGGTGAGGCAGGCTGTAGCTGTGACTGTGACGAGACAGGCTGTGGACCCTCTAAGGGAGGAGGAGGAGGACCAGGAGAAGGTGTAAGACCAAGAACCTGCTGCAGGAGCGGAACGAAGTACGGCCGGGGCCGCGCGGCGACGCCTGAAACAGCAGGGACAGCACCAGTACCCCCAGCAGGAGTACCCGCTCCAGCAGCACCTCCAGTAGCTCCAGAACCTCCAGCAGCACCACCAGGAGCACCGCCAGTCGGACCTCCAGCGGCAGTCTCAGCGTCAACACCCTCAGCAGCACCAGCTCCAGGAGAACCCTCAGACCCTGCAGCTCCAGCACCCACAGTACGAGCACCGCCGG